CTAACCCACGAGGTAAACCCCCCCCCCCCCGCCACTAGTCATAAACTGATCTAGGAAAGAGCTGGGTCAGCCATAGTGGAAGCTTGTCTATCAGATTGAATGGGACATGGCTCCACCAATCCCCAAGTAAGCCTCCTTATAGCCATGTTAATTTTCAGTGCCCTGCTGTGATAAGTTATTAATGAAGTCAAACAAACATTTAATTTATAATACCCACCCTACTGAGGCTTAGTCCAGCTAGAGTTAAAATTGACATTTAAGCTAAATAACTGTAACCTGACACAATCTGACTTTACTAATAAGATTTAGATCAGGATAGCTCTAATTTTACTAACTGCTTTTTTCAACATCTAGTTACAACTGCTTACACCAATCAGTCTGTATTACTAAATAGATAAGTTTTGCTTATTTTCTTTTTTTTAATAGTAATTTTATTAAGAATTACAATTGCAACAATAAAAACCTAATACAAACTAAAAAAGAATAAAAAGAAAAAAGTGCAGAGGAAAAAATAGAAAGAAAATAGAAAAGAAAGAAAAAATAAGAATATAGTGACATAGATAGATAGATAGATAGATAGATAGATAGATAGATAGATAGATAGATAGATGACTCCCCTCTTCATCACAAGTATAAACAGTTTTAGTAACTTATCACCTTCTCTTAAAATACAACAAATTATATCTTCTTCCCATATCCCATCTCTTATCTATTAACAAATCCTTAAAGCCTCATCATTTCAATCCTGATGACAGCAAAAGTCCATTAAGGGTTACCAGATATAACAACATATCTATTTTAACCTTGATCAAATAAACCAACTTTAAAGTGTTCTTTAATTGTAATCTTTAGTTCCTTCTAGCTCCCTCTAATGTCCAATTTTTAAAGTCTTGTGTGTTTTTTTAGAGGAATTCAAAACAAAAGCATTTTCCCACAGTAAGGATTGTTATAATTAATTCAAAATCTTATTTCAAATTTATCTGGACCCTTAGTCCGTTTGTAACTTTCTAAAATCAAAGTTTTAATCACCCTTTTACTGTTTATTAAAAAAAATTAAGTCTTTAAACTTGTATTTAAAACTTCTTTTGCTAAAGATTGAAGGAAACTCAGCTGGTACTGTAAAACTTGTTGATCCAAAGGTTCCTAATAGCTGAAAAGCAGTTAACAAGCAATTTCCGAAAGTGATTAGAAAAGGAAGTATGCAAACCCAGTGTCCTTTTAAATATGCTGACTGCAGTTTGAGCAAAATGGCTATTCCCTTGTCTCCCAGAGCATTAAACTCATTTGTGGTTGATCTCCTCTCTTTGTCCAGAGAGGAATTACAAAGAGCCGGTCTACTTGCTAGCTCTTCATTATGCTGCGGTCATCAGCGGAGCCGTCTTCAGTTCACCATTTCTTCTCTGGAAGTCCAGTTTTGCTTATTTTCTTATAATGGTTTTAGATGACAAGACTACACATTATAAGAAGAAAATGCACTGTTTTATATGATGGGAGGTGAAACTGTGTGACCATTTTCTTCACTGCAAAATTAGTACCCATAGACTCTTTCTAGCAAGAGGTCCATATGAAGATCCATACACACTGTCAAACTAACAGTAGGTCTGGTCAGGGTCAGCTAAGAGTTTATGAACTTATAAAACACCACTGTAACTATATATAGGGAAAGAGTATCACAGATTTATTCCATCAATGAAAAAATAAAATTAAGACCTGGAATGAGGATGCTGAAGTTTATTGTTAATTGATTATTTTAATAGATTAGAGCCTAAAACTGAAACTCTCTACTCAAAATACTATAATAACTTATGTTCACTGTGCAACAATTCACTGTGCAACAAATCTTGCAGGTCAAAGAGTAAGGGCATGAATTATGGAGGATGGAGGCTGACACAACTGTCCACAGAATTTGATCTCTGTATTCTAAAGGGGTTGGTAAAAGGTGATTCTGAGGAGGGATAAACTTTCTAGAGTGAAAGAGGTGTTAGTCCCATCAATTATATGCTATACTGTATCCCCAAGTTTATTAAGCAGAAGCATTGAATTTAAGGAGCCTCTTGATGAGGGTGAAAGAGGAGAGTGCAAAAGCTGGCTTGAAACTCAACATTAAAAAAACTAAGATCATGGCATCT